CAAGCTTAGATTAAGGGTCTGTTCTATATGCTCTCTACTGATCCTGAAAAGAATACATAAAGGCATGTGCAATGATGAAAAGAATGTAATCAATGAAGCTCAATTTGTCTGCTATCATCTCACACTCCAGAATATGCCTTAGCTAATTAGAAGTAAAAGCCAAGTTTGTGATCTGAGATATAATTGAAGCATGAAATTCACAACAAAGATAAGTTATAGCTTTGAAATGAAAGCATTTTACTACGTAACCTGACCTATCCTGCCTTTAACACCTACTGAGAATTACAGTCTTACATCTTTTGGACTGATAGCTTTTAGTGAGCCTTTTCAACTTTGTTAAAAAGCAGAACAAAAATCAAACCTCCTGGGCAAATGTAGAAGCTATCTACTTTTTTTTAAAAAAAAATGCTTCCATATAAAATAACTAGATGGCAAATTTGACCAAAGAGATGAAGAGTCCAAAATCACACATAAATTAAATGAAAATTTAGTTCAGAAAAATATTAGTGATGGTGAAAATCTTTATGACTTTTTCAGCTTTTAAAGGAAATCTCTATTAATTTACTAAGCAAATTTATGGCGGTAAATACAGGTTTTGTCATGTTAAGATACAGAAAAAAAGAGTTCTCCAATTTCATGTACTGGCCATCTTGTTCTGCACAAAATCTTCAAAACTACCCAAAAAGATAGCTTAAGTAAATTTTTCATGCAAGTTCTTAAAAAGTAACAACTAAAAAGTGATATATGACAAAAAACTAGTTTTACTGTATTTTTAGAAGGAATTCTTGTACTATTCTGATTTAGTACCTTAACAATCAGAACAGGCTGATGAATGAATGACTCCTGGACATGCTGTACACTAACTTCTTGCCAGCTAAAAACTGCTTCTGAATAACTGCCTCTAACACATTTCAGAGCAGTTTAAACACGCACAATGCTAACACTACACAGCAGCAAGCTAATTTTATGACAGTTTGGAAATCAGCACCTTTGCCACCTTATCATTTCTCCATTGTACCAATTAGTTTTGTTCTGCTCCACTGGCACAAAAAGAACTTGAATTCATGGAAATGAAGCTGCAATGTAAGTACAGTTATGCACATGCTTCTGCCATTGCACATTTGAGTCACAGGACGGCAGTAAACCCAACATTTCCCATATTGCAGTAAACTGGACAGAGATGCATATTTGGGTCCTAAGATAAACAGAAACCCAAGCCTTTCATTTTCTCAAAGTACTCCATAGTTTCCTACCATTATTATACAGCAGCATTAATAACCACAAATGCTCAAAAACTAAGAAAGTTAGAGTTATAGCCTATTTCTAGACAGCAGCTAATAATAAAATAGCTACTCTTTTTTTTAAACCTTGAAGCATCTCTGCTAATAACATGAAGCTAAAGCAACTCAATTCAGGCTGCATGAAAGAAATGTTTCTTCAAGTCTACATCCTGCTTGAAGTACAGAGATAGCACATGATAACGCAACAACTGCATTCTTACCAGTAACTGTTCTTGGTCTTCCTTGGCATCCTTGTAAGAGGTGGATCCAGGCAACCAAGATGATAATGGAGTTTACAAGTATCACACAGTAGCAGTAGGTGTTGATCATGGTTCTTCTTGCAAATTCCACAACTTTTAATGCAGGCAGCAGAAAAGCATTATAATTACATTTGACGTCATAAAGAATAAAGATACACCCTAACACATTCCCCAGTTTCAATATGGAACATGTGGCATCTTCAATATAAATGCATCATTTAAGTGAAAAATTACATTTTGGAGTAATTATGAAGTAATTTTGGATATTTTTAAAAGGAGCTTCTACCTATACACAATAATGTATAAAAAGCACCTAACAGAATTAACAAAAAATGGCTTTCAATCTAAATTTTTGAGGACTGTTAGCAAGTAAGTAATCATTCAATACTTCAACAAAATGTACCAGTGGCAAATCGAAAAAATACTACATCAAGTGCTTAAATAGAAAACTATGCTGCTATTATCACTGACATCATATGCTTATTTTAATAATGTAACCACCCTGAAAGGTCTGTGCTGCTATTAAATTAGGCAGTGTATCAACTCATAAGAAATTACATTCTTTATTATTATTTTACTGGAATTTAAATTTTAGTTATTTTGAAAAGTTCAGGTATTCACTGACTGCACTGTAACATGGGAGGGAATAAATGACTAGATTTGAATGAAACAGAATTAGTAAAGCATGACTCCTATTATCTGAGCACATCTAAATTGCCAAATCCTTAGTCCACTGCCATATTCTCAAGATTTCTACCTCTTGCAGCAATAAAATTAACTTTTGCTTATGGAAATCATCTTCATTTGGCTTGCTAGCTGGGCAAGACACTGTCCATTTGCTGTGGCTGGAGGCCTGACTGCTGCTGTCTAGACAAACAGTAGACCATGCTATTTCTCAGCTGTGGCAAGAGAAGATGATCCAAGAGAACATGCATATTTCACACAGTTATGCTCTGGGATCCTAGTATTTGACCCAGTATTAGGCTTAACAAAAACCCAGTCAGTAGCTTAACAGCTTCAGGAGGAGGGGAAAAGGTGGAACAATAACAGTATAAGTGAATATATTTCGTATCTTGGGAACTAGGGTGAGCAAAAATTCTTATATGACAAGTAAACACCTGTACCAGTGACCAATAAACAATTTTCTCTGAACACTTTTGTGAGACTATAACTTGCTAGACATTGCATCTATTCTGGCAAGACTTAATTACTTGCCTATAAAGTACGGCCGGAAGTGTAGATGTCTTTTGTGTTCCTCCTTCCTTTTTACTTGGTTTCCTTTCCTTAGGAGCCCGTAAAATTGCTGGGATGTTCAATTTCTATTGGATTTGAAGAAATGCAGTACATATCAGTCTTGACATTTTTCATGAATACCACTCCAACCCCAATTCATGAAGAACAAGACTCAGAATAAAGAGTGGGACACTGCCTAGTGAGCTATTTTACATACAGAACCAACTACAGATGTTTATCCCAGTATGATTTTGAAATATGAAGCAATCTCTATACTTGTGAGTTGAATATGAAGCAATTTCAATTGAATAAAAACACACAGAAAGACTGGCTTTTGAATTTTTTCTTAAAGCTTCCAATAGAGGGATGGACAAGGATGCATTTGTCTAGGCAGCTGAAACAAGCAAAGGCAAATTCATGAAACTGACAAAATACTGAGGCAGTTTATTTTTCCCAGCATCACTGCTACATTGGTGCTCGATAGGTTAATTAGAAAAATTATCTTATTGGACCAAGCCCTCCACAAAGCAGACAAGACTCTCTTCGGGTTTCTGCTAATCTGCAGTATGCTGGCTTCTCAGACAGCAACCATCTATCAAAGTCATTTCTCAGCAGCCCCGTGGGTCTGCATCTGTTCAACCAACTGGAAAAAAAATGTCATGCAAGCTGTGTAAATGAATTCTACTCAACTTTTTTTTTTCTTTCCTTTTTTTCTGTTTATATTTAGTAACATTTGCATCAGGAAACATATTTGTGAATACCTACCCATAGGATGGAAAAATAATCTTAGTTCAAAAGCTACATTATGCAAAAAATTGTTCTTTACAAGTAGGAGAGATAGGCAGATAAACAGAACCAGAAAAAGCTTGCATACCTTAGAAACTACTACTGAATGAACAAAATGTAAGGTTCATTTTCTGAACAGCAGCACAAACTCAGCAGTACCAAAGGGCACAACAAAATTGTGACCTAATTGTATGTCTGCATTTTCACAATGAATGGTTTCTTCAATCTTAAATCATAACTTATCTTTTCAATCTCCCTCTGACATCGCACATGTTCATTGCCATTTAATACCTCTGACATAAAACATATAGGAAAACACTGCAAGAGTCTACACTTCTGTTTTTACCCCCTAGCAACGAGAACAAAGATAATTACTGGCAAGAGAAAGCAATCCAAATTTCTCCTAGTTATTTATATTAATTTGATTAAAATATTCTGCTCTGTCCAGTTGCACACCATCACATACATACTGCAGTTTAAAAGATTTATATCTTATAAAAGCTGTAAAGAGTTAACATAACATTTGAAGCCTACAGTAACTAAAGACAATATGGAGACAAAACCTGCAGGATTAACTCATGCTTCACATTAAGGTTCATCACAAATGACAGGTCAATCAGTTACACCAAATGAAAGAATTTTGCAAACAAGAACACTATTACAACAACAAATTTAAGCTACAGGTTCCCTGTAGGTGGTTTGCAGAAGTCTAGGTACTTCAATCAGGAAGCATTATCCCCAGAGTACAGCTGGGGCCTGATCAAATCAAATCAATTTATCAGCTATAGGAGGGACAGACAGAAACAAAAAGGCCTATTCTTGGAAAACCAGTTCTGCTGCTTTTTTTCTGTAAAGGGGGAGGGAGGGAACCAACCAACCTGTCCAATGATTCTACCCAGCAGAGCCCAAATGCCTTGCCCTTCATTTCGCAATTTTCCATTCATATTTTGTAGCTCTTCCAAAGACTCGCACAGCTGAAAAGTTAAAGGGAAAAAACATCAACAGGAATGAAAACTCATGAAGAGTCATTTAATAAAATTTATTCAACCTCTTACCTATCTAGGATGCGTTACTTTAGTGCAAGTTTAAAAAAACAATGGAACTCATGTCAGTATAGCTGAGATCAGTGCAATCATTCAGCAACTTAACTAAGATGAAAATCAGGGCTGTTTTGTAAAGATCTGAAGCAATTCAGCATGAATATAAGGTTTCATTAAGTCAAGAAGAAATCAAAACTAAAATACATCAACATCTTGTATGTATTGTTCACACTACTTAAATAGCAAAACTGTAAGAAGTAATCATATAAATGGATTAAAACTCTCTTTTGCCATACTAAAGAACACTCATTCATCCTCATGGAAAGAGATAAAATTTATTAAAGGATGCAAGCAGGAAAAAAAGGTGGGGTTTTTTCTTCTGGAAGTAACTATTAGTTACCACCCAATATATATAAGCTGTTAATTTGGTTGAAAGCCCTATGCACAATCTCCTTTGCCTTCATCATCTTTGGCCCGTTCACAAGAATCTGTTCCTTCATTTTCCCTGTGTTCTCATTTAAAGCACACACCCAACAGTACAAGAATTAATAGCAACATCATTTTCTGTCATCACTAGCCATCACTTGATAGGTTGCTGGATTTGGCAGGAATTGCAGCACGTCATCTGTCACAAAAGGTACTTCTAGGTTTCAAAATATTTAAATATTAAAATAAAGAAATACTTGTTTAGTAAAAATGCACATAATTCTTGTTCAACCATGATGACAAGTTAATAAAAAATTACATTAGCAACATTTGGGGGGACTAATGCCATAATTTGTGGGCCCCAAACTTGTTATACTCCAATGAGGACACGATGGGTGTGCGAATACTGATTGTTTCAGCCTGAAAAAATGAGTCAAGTCATTAAATCTAGGATGAACACAACTGGAGTTGAAGTTGACATAAGTAAATAAATAAATAGACACATACACAGACAGATAGATAGTTAACACTCTGAGTATCCTAGACTGCCAATTATCAAATAGGGTTCCAAATACAGAACCAAGCAGGTTCAAAAAGAACCTAGAACTATACACAATCAAAGAACAGCAAAACAACATCAAAAAAACACAGGAAGAGACAGAGAAGAGAGAGAGAGAGAGAGAGAGAGACAGAGAGAGAGAGAGACAGACAGACAGAGAGAGACAGAGAGAGACAGAGAGAGAGAGACAGAGAAAGAAAGAGAGAGAGAGACAGAGAGACAGAGAGACAGAGAGAGGGCGAGCGTGAAAGCACGACGAGTCAAACTCTGTTGTCTTGGCAGTCTCAAATGAAATGCATACAAAGAAGGAAAAAATGAAGGGCCTTATGACACAGGTTGACTCATGAGAGAGACCTTTCTGTCCATGTGCAATTTGTTACTGGAGCTCTCAGTGGGGTCAGTTGAAGACCTTGTGTCCAGTCAACATACCACATTTTAGAAGCCGATTCTACTTGTATGAGGTAGGACAGACCACTGAATATTTTTAAAAGAAGAAATAAATTTTTAAGCATTACAAACTATTGCTGATTCAAAAGTATCTTTCATTCTAAGTCCTTTTCTTTCATGGAAAGAAAAATACTATCACAGTTACAACAACAACAATACTAAAACCGTACAACAATTTATTATCCCTTTTTCTTCACCTTATTATACTCCACATGAAGTTTTTCTTGCTCGTTTTCTAATTTATCCTTGATATTCTTCTGTTCAGCCATATTCTCCTGGATTTGAATCATGCGCATATTTCTCTCTATTTGAAAGAAAATTGTATTATTTCCTACTCTTGGATATATATTTTCGAGTTTTATGCACTAAAAAAAAAAAAAAGTGAAGCAATAGAAAGTATAAAACCATAACAATATAAAGACAATACTAGGTTTATTATACAGACTGAGTAGAATGAACAGTTATAACATTTACATTTTACTGCATAAATACTGCAGTTATTTAAATTATGAGCTTTGATCATCCATCTAGCAAACAGTCACAAATTCATGCTATTCCACATAGAAATGGAGGAAAAATGAAGGAAAAAATGTTAAACAAATAGGTACCTAAGCTTATACTTCTTTCTTAAAGACAGTTTAGTCTCCCTGCATATATTTGAAAGATTTCATTCTTTTCTAAAATGCCTTTTTTAAAAGAAAACTTTCTGTGCGAATAGAGATTCCAAGCAATTACATACCTGACCTAAAACAAAGTCATTATTCGATTAAATACAAGTAAAATCAAAAAGCCAGTGAGTTAGCACAGCACAAATGCAGAAAAGTGGCAATTTTTTCACTGAGAAAAATAAACAATTTTCACCCTTACCAAGGTAATAATTCACAAAATCAGCAGTGAGAGCTGGTTGTTTATGTTTTCTTCTTCCATCAACACTGGAACTCGTATCTGAAGTATCCACTGGAAAAATGTCAGTACTAATTCCCATTAACTCAGCTTTGCGCATAAGCTTACGTATAGCTGAAGCACTGCTAGTAAGGGGTCGGGGCAGCTTCTCCCTGGGAACCCAGGCCTGTGGCCTGGTGGTGCGAGCCAGCTCTGCCTTGGCACGGTACTGCTGTAGCCTGGCATTGATTCGAGCCTGCAATAAAGCATTCCATAAATTAAAAACACAAAACAACAATTCAAAATTAGTTTTGAGTTATAATTTGGAACACATCCACATTTTACTTTCATTTTGAAAGCAACGCAATCTAATCAGTGCCATTTTCACTTTGAACCCTACGATTCAAGAAACAGCCACTGACACAGACATTTCATTTTACATCAAAACTCATACGCAAACGACGTTATTCTTTCACTACGTTTTGGAGCTCTGCACAGTTTTCTCGACGAGATTTCCCACCAATGAGAGTAACACAGACAACTGCTGGCTTTCAGACAACCCTTTCTAATAATGATAATTTGATGGGACTGGGAAATCTCACTACTGGGAAAAGCCTTGGCTGACCCATTGCAAATACATTTAGATCCACTTTAAATTGGTATCTATGTGAGCAACAAATGTTGATGAAGAGCATTTTTGCCATATTTGACATCTTCTCATAGGAACTCCATTCTCAATGCCACATCTCTTCACAAATGTTAAACTTGGTGATTATAAGGTGTCAAAAACACAGCTCAAACAGAAGTGAAGTAGGCAAGAGAAGCTCACAATATATATTGTTGATGACATCTGTATATTTTTGACCATCTGGGAGATCTACCCAGAAAATCAAGCTGTTACTGACAGTTGGAAAACACTGTCTTGAGGGAACTTTATGAAGTGGCAATTCTGGCAGAAAATGACATCAACGTACAAACCTTCAGAGGCAAAACTCCAGCTGACTATCAGTTTGAAGTTGTTTACTTGCCTGCAGAAAGAAGAAACTAAACTAATGCAACTGCCCCACCATATGGTGTGAGATACTCCTGAGACAAATGCAAAAAAAGAAAAGGTGCAATGCAAGCACACTATGGTTAAGGAACATCTCCCATTACAAACAAAATCATGGAAGGCAATATTACACTTTTAACACACGTTACCTTACTAGGTCTTGAACATTAATGACCAAGAACAATGGAAAATCTGGCTTACAGGTCAGCTCTGAACTCAGTGGGTTTTTTTCTTGGATCCACAGCAGGAGGCAAAAGATCCAACTACAGTCACCACTTTGCTTTATTCTCCACTGGACCAAGACCAGACCAAGGATGGTTTACAGCTTCCTCAGCTAAGACTCTTCTTTTATTGATTACATGCTCAGCTCTGAAACCCTTGAGGTCATTTAGGATGTCATAAAACTGTAAACCCAGAGCCTTATTCAAAAAATAGAGAACAGATTAAAATGACTAATGTCTAAATGGAATCCTCAAGTCAAGTTACTTGGATTTTACCAATTTTCAAGTATACACTTTGCTCAAGGAATGCACATTTCTTTAATTAATATTCAAAAAAGTATTTCAATGCAGAACATTGGTCTACAAAGCATCAAATAGCCATTTTATTCTCCTGCAAAAGTGTGCCTCAGAAGTCTATTTTCACGATACCAGATAAACTATTTGTACAACTGCATACGTGTTTAGTTAGCTCAATGTCTGCAAACCTTACTTAAGCCAACAAACACCGTGAGTGAGTTTTTCTGTGCATACATATATGCACAGAATATATATACATTTACTTCTTATTTTTCCAACCTAAGCTGTCTCAAGATTCTTATTTCTCAAACAAAATCCTAATTTAACACAAATAGATACATTTTGTGGTGGGATTTTAACCTCCTCGGCAGACAGCATATGGTAAGGTAAGGGGTGAATTTAGACATACTCCCCAGTCAGACATTTCTGGTATGTATGAAGTGCCCCTTACAGCTCTGCATTTTAAAGGCACAGAAACCACTCAAAGACAAACAATTACTTCATAAAATCCTAATACATACAACTGGACATGAATATGCATTTTTCAAGTATCCAAGTTGTTTTCACCCACATATACTCAGGCACATACACAATACTAATGCAAACTCACACAATACCAAAGCCAGCAATACTGAAAATAAGTGGTTGTTACAAAATGTATTCAAGTTATCAAATTTGAATCAAGGTGCCTATCACGCCATGTCAAGTAATTCCACCTGTAGTTTTCAGCATTCATTCTTTCAGTTTCCAAAAATTTAACCCTAATAATTTACATTTAAAAACTGGAAGGTCTTGGTTTGGGGGAAAGAGGAGTAAGAGATGTAAATATTAGGAACTTATCAGCATTATCAGCACTAAAATGCCTGAAAAGACAGATAATAAGCCCTGCTGGACCCAAACTGATTTTGCACAACCAATACTTACCATTATGTGGAGCAGTATTCATATTATTGTGATGTCTCCGCTATACAGGCGAATTTCACACAATTGAGAGCTAAGTGTATTCAGCAAGAATTATGACACCAGTTTCAAATCAAACTACATAAAGCTCAATACCCCATAGAAATACTTTATTCAAAATTCTTCTACAGTAAGAGTTTGCTTCAACTCATTCTCAACAGCACAGGTAATTTTAAATTAATATTCCCTTCTCCTACACAAAGATCGCTGAATAACCAGGAAGGCATGATTTTTTTGAAGTTTGATAACATGAAGATTTTTTTTCTGATCATTACACTACAATTCTCACTTCAGAAACAAAAACATTCCTCTCCTATAAATGCCTTCCATTATTACATGTTTCCATTATTACAGTTTTACACGGATATGCCACTAGACAGGGATATAGACTTGCATAAGGCTTTCAGACAACTCCCATGCATACATACCTTTTTTTGCTAAGAATCTTTACTATGAAAACACCTGGCATACAGAATTCTACTTAGGCCTACAAAAATTGAAAAAGGATCTAATAAGAAAAATACTTTAGGCAAGGTGAACTCTCCTGCCAAGTTCAAGATACGAATAAGGGAAAAAAGTAATACTGAACTGGGATGTAGAAATATGCCTAATTTTTTATCTCTTTTTATTTTTTTCTTAAGAATCCTGAAGAAAAAGTAAAACAAAATCTGTGAATTACAACGAAAAAGTAATTACCATTTTTTTGTCACAAAGCCAGTGTTTTCAATTCAGACAAGCACAGATACCTAGAGTTGATAATTAGTTCATGGTTCTTAGAGACCTACAAATAATTCTCTGCTTTGTAAATGACCATGCATGATCAATATATTTCAAATTTAATTTCCTTCTATAGTAACATTTTTCTATTCTCTTCATTTCTTTCTTGTTTAACATGGATGATTAATACAGAGGCATTTATTTCATGAATGCAATACCTGAGCTTCTGGTGAAAGTTGCTTTTCTCTTTCCTGCAAGGACATTTTACAGTAAGACTGCAATGCCAAGTAGTTCTTCCGCTTCCATTTTCTGTCTAATCTGTCTGCATGCTGTTTACAATAAGCAAAAAAAGGGTCAGCTATATCCTGTTTCAGAGAAAACAAAGGGGAAGAAACGAAAATAAAGTAAGACATACGAGGCCAAAAGGCTCAGAACAGCACAAACATTCTGGCAATAAGTTCTCATCTTCAAATTGGCATGTTTTCAAAAACAACTAATACGTATGGTTCTAAATCAATTTTCTCATGTTGATGTAATTTACAATACAAGGTGTTTTCCACTGTTTTCATTCCATGACCTTAAACGTTTTTAAATCCATTAGCTATTTAACTCATTACTATTCAATATCAGTACTATTTTCACATTCCCAGAAATAAAAGATCAGCAAAATAAATTCCTAAGTACAAATTCCTTCAACATATAACATCTATTGTTAACTTCTCTTGCTTCACTGTGCCTTCTGCATTATATCCTACAAGTTCTTAACAATTCTGCATACTTTCGATGGTAATATATTTGATTTCTCAAATGTTTTCCAATTGCTTTGGTGGCTAAACCCTCACATGATTTATCATCTCTTGGTTGAATTTTTTTCCCAATTTTCATTCTTCACCAGATCTGCACATTTTCACAGTTGCAAGTTTATATCAACTTTTAACACAAAACTTGCAAGCAGACTAAATATCTGAGCCATGAGGAGATATGATTTGAGAAGTATGTTTCATTGCCAGTATATTTTCAAAAGCATAGAAACATTGCCATAAATCTACAGACTAAGAAGGAAAATTTAAAGCAGTCTTCCTTCATACAGTAATACAAATATTAGTAAATTATTTGCCTATTAAATTTTCCTTTACTCCACCTATAAACCACAGATCAATAAAATCTTTATCCAGGCTTTCCTTGCAAGTGTATTTCATTTTGATTTAGATTTTCTCAGTATGTGACAGCTTACTTCCAAAAATTAGCAGTACCCTAAAATTAGGTTGTGTGAGGCCTTGATTAACACTGTGTTGATTACAGAATACACAAAATTTTAAGGTTGAAAGGCAAGTAAATGCATATGCCCAGAAGTGATTCACAGTGTTAGAAGAATCAACATTACACATAATTTATTAGGGACAACAACAATGAGGCAATGTGCTATCTTCCCATTTATCAGTCTCACAGGAGAGAGCATTTTGTGATTCCTTTACAAATCCCTTAGTGGTCCACTGTTTTCAGAAACAAGTGTCAAGATCAATTGTGCAAGTAATGCTTGTTTTTGTGTTACTTGTGGTACTTCCTAAGGCAATAAGTTAAATTGTGCAGCTATGAACATGACAGACTTAATCCAAATGATACATGAAATTGGGCAACCTAAAAGTACTTATACCGCAAAAATGATTTGGCTAGTAGGAGCTTCAAATCTAAATGGCTTTGGATCATACTACAGGGAAAAAATTAAGACCAGATATTAAAAAGTTATCAGTAGGTTATAAATATTTGCTTTTCATTTTGATTGCTCAGATTAATGTTACTACAAGGAAAGTCATATATCTGTACAGCAATGTGAAGGAAATACTGGATAACTTGCATAAGAAATACTGCATTAAAAATGTAGTTAATATCTCAAGACAATCCTATTTGGTATGAGATAGAGCTCACCATACTACACAGGCAGCTAGGTAAGTATAGCACCCTAGGTGAGGTTTAAGAAATAGAGTTAGAATTCATGTCTGTATTGACTGACAGTCTATTAAGCCAGCTTCAGTGTTAACCTTCTCTTTCCTTTCCTCTAGTCAGTTTCAAAAGTGCTCAGAGTTGGTCAATTTGGTGAAAAAGGAGATCTTCCTATAGAGTTCCTTTACTCAGCCTAAGCCTTGTTACCTATTCACAAAAACTTTATTCAAGGTCTGTGAACAAAAAAGCCACAATTTCAGGTCGTCTTCATAAGCTTTCAATACAGCTCATTCATTCTATCCTTTCCATAGCTACCTCTTCCGCTGCTGCTTCAGAAAGGAGACCTTCCTTCTGAGCACAGGTCACATGGAAATAAGCTCTGCACATCCCGGCGTCACAACTAATGCATACTCCAGTTCTGGCGAAACGAGTATCTTCACAAAAACTGCATTCCTTTATAAAAAGAATGGAAAATGTCACAGTAAATATTTCAGGTGTGTTTTGCCTAATATCTGAAAATTTACATCTTACATATAAACCCCAAACTGGTAGGTTACTCCTGTGTGGTACAGAAACCAAGTATGCTGCCAACAGCTGACACTACTTAAAACTTCATGCTTTCTCAACCCTCATTATTGATTTCATTTTCAACAAGAAATGAAGAAGTGCTTGAACAACACAAACAGCATGTTGCATGAATTTTTATATGAACCTCCACATCTTGCATTCCCTTTCAGAGAAACAACTAAATACCACCCAAGCGATTCATGCACAATTGATTATGTAAGTACAGTATCACAAAGCAACACCACTCCTCAGCAAATGCTCAACTGTTCAACAAGTTCAGAGGACAAACAACAAAAAAAAAGCAGTGCCCCGGATGACTGAAAATTGTAGATAATTATGTAGATGCCCTTTGATAAGCAAGGACTGAGGAATAAAATGTGACAAGGAAGAAAGAAATGCTCAAAAATCATAAATATCATAAAGTGTGATTCACTTCATTACTGCACTATGACTTCAGATATTTGCATTCTAGGCACAGATGTTTTCAACACAGGAAACTGACATTCCCTAATGTGACCTGGATAAAAAACAATGAACTTATTTTTCAGTCAGATCAATTCCTCAGTCTGTTTCACCACAGTTTCATACCAAACAGCTGTGCCAGCAAACTAGAATGATGAGCACATGAGATGGAAATGGAAACATGGGCTGTTCAAGTAGTGCTGCTATCCAGTGCATAAAGATGATGCAAAATTACACATTTCTTAGTCTCCTACTTGCTGCATAGAGAGCAAAGCTGCCTATCACCTGCAGAAAGTACCCCCATGCAGAAAGGTAACAGAAAGGAATGTCAAAGACAACTCAGTGACTGAAGAATCCCAAAACACCACATAGAGTACACTGGAAGGGCACCCTTTAGCTGTGTAACTATATCACTTAAGAGATAAGAAATTAAGAAGAAAAGACTCTTATATTAAGCTGGTTTTGCAGGGAGAAAGTAAGCTGTAACTTCCACACTTGATACAGCAAACAGCATTTACAGCTCTGCAAGAGTAATGAGTCCTCATCTGTACAGTTCACTTTCACCTTACAGCAAGAAATGATGTCCATATTCTTTGCCCTGCTCCCGTGCATCACTCATGTTATTAAAAAAACCCAACAAACCATGATTCATGCAACAACAGTTTGCAGGGTATGGGGTGCATGCTTCAACCTTTTTTTATACAAACATTTCTAAACAATGCTCAATGCCTCAGCAGGTCAATGCTCCTGCTACAGCTCTGTTGCACACAGGCAATCCAAAGTGGTTTATATTTTATATATTATTTTTTTAAATACACTATGTATTTTCATTTTAAGTTTTCAACTTGGCAAACTGACATTTCAGAAAATGAAACTGACTTTGCAGAAATGAAGCATTAGAGCCACAGAATTACAATCACGAGAGATATGGTTTCTCCACACTGTCTCCATTAGCCACATGAACAGTACTTAGCAAATTACTGAGTGCTGTCCTGTAGCCATTGCAATGTTTTTCGGTATGATTTGTTCATGATCACTTTTGATCTGGACTGAAAACATTTACATGAAAACCCATTTTAATTTTAGAGCCATTTCTCTGTTCAAGTTGAGGGCCCCACGTTGCTGTGGATTTTTGTAATACTGCTTTGCAGCAACATTTTTATATGCATTCTAGATTATATATAGACCCTAAAGTAATTCTCACTGAACATACATCTGCCCCTTTCTTAATCAGCTTAACATCCCATTTCTCATCTCATAAATCCTCTTCACTTTCCATCCACATTTTGTCATTCTGCCACTAAGTGACAATATAAGAAATTAGCACCTGTGTAAAAAATAAGGGAAACTGGGGGGAAAGTGACAGAAAACACATAGCAAGAGGGTGAGAAAAGCAATGGTGTAACAACCATGAACAAACTTTGTATCATTTTTAGTCCTGAGCCTCACTGAAATTGCTATAAAAAGGAAATAGTTGGTAAGATGCATGTCATTCCATTATATGCAAAAGCATAAAATAAAGCTGTTTGTTGGCGCTATGTCTCTCCTAAACTTACCTTTGCACCGTACTTTGAATAATTCATTTCGGTTAGTGTTACTGGTCGTAGTTTGTCAATATCTCCAAATGCCACTCCTGGAACATAGAGGGCACAAACAATATGGACCCACCTAAAACAGCAGATAAAATTAGGTTACTGTTATCAACATTTTGCTCTTATATTATACTCACCATTTGCAGATTTCAAAGTGCCTTGTAAATGTTGCAGATGCTAGAAGAAATGTGTTTGAAGAAAAGCACATTAGCAGAAAGAAGAGAGTGCCTATTTGGAATTCAGCAGCTCAGACACTGAGACACAGAGTAAGGCCTTTCAAAACCACCGGGATTGCTCTTCCTGTCTGGATCAAGGGCTGAGCTACCATTACCTTTCTGTTTTGATGGCTCTCACATGGGGCTCCGTATGCTCTTCATGCAGTGTGAAAGGTGTATGAAGATTTTGATATTACTCATCAAGCTAAGGCAGACAGACACTTTCATGATGGGGCAGAGGTTAGGAACAAAATTATACAGGTGCTTTCAGCAACTGTGACCTCTGGGCAAATAGCTACGAAGTACTTACAGCATCAGTCAGACTTTGCACTGTTAGTTATACCCGTTAGAATCACTAAAACTAATATTAAGCAACACAGACAGGATCTGCATTCAGTAATAAACACATCTGGGTTGTATTACAGAAAGGCCTATCAGAAACTCAGATCTACAGACTGTTATTTAGCTGTACTCTTCTTTACTGGCCATAAACAAATTGGAGAGTAGTAGGTCTAAATCTTTAGCCCTGACGAACAGAAAATGAGGCATCATGTATCTGGACCTCAGTGTCTAGTAATTAAATATCACACAATGGTAGAGGCTTGCTTCAGCCTCCAGTCTGCCTTTGACATACTGCCCTGTCTCCTGAAACTCTCAGTCACCAAAAGACCGCCTTGCAGCAGAAGACAAATTTTCTTCTTCTTACATAATGAAGGATTTCTAGAAGATCCAACTCTCATTATCATAAACAGTCAATTAGGGACAAACTCAAAATCTGTTCTACACAGCATGCATGACTCAAATAAAGAGACAAAACTACTCTAAAAAAAACAACTACAAAGTGTTCCTCCTCCAGATAATTTTTATATTTTACCAAAATTCTGGGACTATTTGCTACTCCTTGCTATGTTATCTGTAATAGACAGAAGGTCAAGACTACTATTTTTTTTATCCTAAAATATTGGAAGAAAATGGCCTTAAAATTGCAGAGATGTGTAGCTATCACTTTGAACCTATGAGCTCCCACATGACACAGGATACAACTAGATACTTCAGACACAACTGAGCTGGACTATCCTATATTTGACCCTTAGCAACTATGTTAATCCAGCACTTTACAATCTTCCTAGTCATTAATGTTTAACAGTAAATATATCACTAATGAAGACAAACCTTCTGTTCTAATCAAATAATAGAATCTACTCCCTGTATTCAAGATGACTCATGATGATGTGAGAAACATTTCTTCCCTTGGGCTCTTTCTCCAGGGGTTCAGTGCAGACCTGGTTACCACCTACTTAAATCCACATGTATGCTGCTGTGCTCTTTTTCTACAATCTTTTGCCACTGTTTGGGCTGTCACTTCTCCCTCCTCTCTCCTTTTCATGTCAATTAAAAAAATTCAATTAGACCAGAGCAAAAGATCCTGGGTTCATCTGAACTGAAAGCAGCATGCTTCTTAACCAGTTATTAACTAGCTGTCTACAGATGAGAGAAATACTGAAGCTGATGGTTATAATACTCAGGGAGCTACATGGAACCCTGATTTCCCATGTTTCCCAAAGCAGCATGTTTGTCATCAATGGTCCTTACACCCACAATGCTGGAATTTACCACATTCAGATTTACTAAGTTTCATGTTAATTATTTATGAATCATATATCCACACAAAAAATAAAAAAACCAAAATATGAAAGGTTCAGTAGCAAGCTCAAAAATACCTGTATATTTCAGTCTTTACAAACAAAAGAAACAATAATCTTGCAATACACAAAACTGGTGGACAGACTTCTTATTTAGTCTTTTCCCCCAAAGAAGTCCCTGACACTAACTTGGTAACAGGTAAATCCTAGTAACTGCAGGAAACCATTTAGAAGCCATTAGCTCAGTTCATTCTGTAAGAAATTTCTCAGTAAATCTAACATAAGCCACAACACTGACTAATCCATAGTGTCATATCTGACAGCTCTCTTCACCTGTGCATTTGAAAAGTTTTTACCCTACTGTTAAATCAACCAGGTTTGAGATGCTAAGTGGTAAATTCCCTTTAAAACACAAAAAATGAAAACAATGAGCATAATATATAACCAAATACATATTTACATACAAGATCTGCATTGCTTTGTCTGTACAGATTTTAGTAGCATTCCTCACATCCACAAAATTAATTGGTCACAGCACTGTAGCTACAGGAAGACGCAAAGTTTAAAGATGAGTTACAACCTTGTCTCTAAACAACAGTACAAATATGACAGCCTTATCTCAGCCAGAAAACAAGCTGAGATGCTCAAATGTTCTGCCAATGTTCTTGCTCCTCAGAAAGGGAGTAAAGCTCATCACTGGTCTTATTACAGTAAAACACTCCAGCATGTCAGCACAGCCCCCAACATAATACAATGGGATATGCAAACAAAAAAATTCTTCTCATTAGTATGTGAAAAATACATCTTCTGTCTGACTCCCCA